TTATATACTTTCATTTTCTATTTGCCAGTATTTTATTAAGGGTTTTTGCATCGATGTTCATTAGAGATATTGATCTGTAGTTCTCAATTCTTATGGGATCTTTGCCCGGTTTCAGTATCAGAGTTATACTAGCTTCATAGAAGGAATTCAGGAGTTTGCCATCTTTTTCTGTGTTCTGGAAGAATTTTGTGTAGGATTGGTGTCAGTTCTTCCCTGAATGGTTGGTAGAATTCTCCTGTGAAGTCTTCTGGTCCAGGGGATTTTTTTGTTGGTAATCCCTTTATAACCTTGTCTATTTCTTCTATTGCTATGGATCTGTTGAGATTCTTGACATCTATTGGGGATAGTATAGAGGATTGTTTTTCCAAGAATTTTCCCATGTCTTCCAAGTTGTTGAATTCATTAGAGTACAGTCCTTTGTAGTACTGTGTAATTATCCTTTTGATTTCATTAGAGTCTGTTGTAATGTCCCTGTTTCATCCCTCATCCTTGCTATTGAAATTTGTTCCTTCCTTTCTTTGGATAGGTTTACCTGCGGTTTGTTGATTTGGTTTATCCTTTCAAATAACCAACTTTTAGCAGCATTAATTTTCTCCCGTAGTGTTCTTATTTTCCCTCTTCTGAATCTCAGCCCTGATTTTTATTATTTCTTTTCTTTTGCTATTAGTAGGATTGTCTTGTTGTCTCTGCTCTAGTTGCTGTAAATATTGTGTCAGTATATCAATCATAAGTCGCTCTTCCTTTTTCAGGCGCGCATGTATTGCTATGAAACGTCCTCTGATAACTGCCTTTGCTGTGTCCCGTAAGTTTGGTACATTGTGTTCTCATTCTCGTTGGTTTCTAGAAATTTCCTAATTTCTCCTCTGATCTGGGCCAGTGCACACTCATTTTGGAATAGAGAGTTATTCATCCTCCAATTGTTTGCCCTTGTTTTCTTCATCCTCCTTTTGTTGATTTGCAGCCCTATAGCACAGTGGTAAGAGAGAGAGGTCTGTATGATATCAATGTGCTTAAATTTATGCAGATTCTATTTATGCCCCAGCATGTGGTCTCTCTTGGAGTATGTGCCATGTGGGCTTGAAAAGAATTTGAATTTTCTTTGTATTTGGGTGAAGAGCTATCAGGTCCAATTGTCTAATTGTAGTGTTTAGATCTCTAGCCTCCTTGTTGAGTTTCTTTCCCTGTGATCTTTTCTCAGAGAGTGGTGTATCGAAGTCTCATACTATAATTGTTGATTCTGTGATTTCTTTTTTCATCTTTTGGAGCATTTGGTTGATGTATTCAGTGGGTCTCTCGTTCGGGGAATATATGTATAAAATGCTTAATGGTTTGTTGTCTACTGTTCCCTTGAGCATTATATAGTGTCCCTCCTTGTTCTCTTTTTATGGTTTGCACTTTGAGGTCAATTTTATCCATGATTTGGATTGCAACCCCTGCTTTTTTTTTAATTGTTGTTTGCTTGATATGCCTTTCTCCAGCTTTTGAGTCTCAGCCTATTTTTGTCTGTATTCTTGAGATATATCTCCGGTAGGCAGCAGATTGATGGGTTGTGTTTTCTAAGCCAGTCTGATAGTCTCAGTCTTTTAATACATGAATTCAGGCTTGATATTCAGGATTATTATCTTCATCTGTGGACTCTGTGATGTCATCTTATACCTTTTGTGTTAGGTGTTTTCCTACTTTCCTTTCTCATTAGTGTGCTGTGTGTGTGTGTGTCATTCTTGACTTCTTTCCATCCTTAAGCCAATACTATCTTGGGGTCTGTTTTCTCTTTGGTGCCCTCTGGGTGAGGTTGTTCTGTGTGCCAGTCTCTTATTTGTGCTCAGTTAGGGCTATTCTTCTGCCCATACTTGGTCGGCAAGGATCTTTTGTAGGGCTGGGTTTCTTTTAACGTATTCTTTGAGTTTTTCCTTGTCTGGGAAGACTCTTACTTCTCCATCTATCTTGATCGATAATTTGGCTGGGTAGAGTATTCTTGGGTTTGCGTTGTTTTCCTTCAATTTTTGGAATATTTTACTCCACTCTCTCCTCTTCTTCATAGTTTCTGCTGATAGGTCTGAGCATATTCTTAATTGGGAACCTTTATATGTGATTGCTTGTTTTTCCCTAGCTGCTCTCATGATTTTCTCCTTTTCCTTAAAGTGGTATAGTTTAACTATTATGTGCCTTGGTAACTTCTTCTTGGGATTCAGTCTAGCTGGTGTTCTTTCAGCCTCCTGAATGGTTGTCTGGCGCTCATTCATTAAGTTGGGGAAGTTGTCCTCCAAGAATTCTCTCACTGTTTTTGCAGATGCCTTCTTTGTTGTGTCTTCCTCCAGTAATTCAATTATTCTGATACTGTTCCTCTTCACAGCATCAGACATAGCCCTTAGGTTTTCTTCAGCTTCTCTGATGATCTTATTATATTTTTGTTCACGTTTCTTAAAGTCTGCTTGGCTGTCCTCTAGGGCACTGGTGTGGTTCTCTGCCTCCTCCAGTCAGTTGGCAAAGTCCGTGAGTCTGCTACTGGTTTTTGTTATCTCATCCCTAAGCTCTTGTATTTCCTTTTGGTGTGTGGTCTTCATCTCCTCTATCATTTCATCTTTTTTCTGTATTGTTTCCCTCATATCCTGTTTGACTCCAAGCAGCATTGTGAAAATTTCTTTCTATGGCAGGTCAATGTCTGCTTCTTCATTTCTACTCTATCCTATAGGGTCACTAAGAGTCAAAATCCACTTGATGACCTTGAGTTTGGGTATTTTATGGACTAGGAAAATTTTAAATTATGAATTCACTGCCATCAAGTCAATTCCAACACATGGAATCCATACCAGACGGAGTGGAACTGCTCCCTCAAGTGCCCAAGACTGGAAATCTTATGGAAGCAGACAGCCTCATCTTTCTCCCTCAGAGCTGCTGGTTAGCAACCCCATGCTTAACCCACTGCACCACCAGAGCTACTTTGAAATTACCACCATGACGGGGCCCAGGGGTATCCCTTCTCAAGGAAAGATTCAAAAGACCCAGCCCAACCCGTGCCTGCTCCAAACCAAATGAGTCACTTGGAGTGACCCTGTAAGACGAGACAACATGCCAGAAATCTTTACCAAAGCAGACCGCCATGGCTTTCTCCCCTGGAGTGGTGGGGTGGGTTTCCAATGTCAGTCTTTCAGTTTGAAGCCCAACTCTTCACCACTGCACCACCAGCCAGAGCTCCTCCAGGAGAGGGTAGTGGGGGCAGTGATTCCAGAGTGTGGATGGAGCTGGGGTGGCAGGGTGGGGAGTGAGCACAGGATCATGCAGTTCCAGAAAGGGGGCAGACATTGGCCTGACTGCCCCTGATAGCTTTGTCCCAGAAGCAGCCCCAGGGACACCATGGAGTCCTTGCACCTCTAATCCTGGGGAGTGTGGGGAGTGGAAGCCACCAAGGGGGGGTGAGCCCAGGGAGAGTAAGGTTCAGCCACAGCTCTCCTGGGAGCTCATGAGGCTCACTGGCTGTTGACCGGGAGTCACGAGTCCTAAGGAGGTTCCTGAGAGCAGGAGAAATGTGGTGCCTGCTTGGCAAACAGCCTGCAGCCCAGCTTGCCTACCTACGATGCACCCCGTTGTCCTCCAGAGGCCACATCCTTTGCTAGAGGAGCCAGAGTCCCAGAGGACAGAGGATACGGGTCCTGACCCTGGGGTTGGTGGACTACACGATGGCGAGAGTTCATCGTCAAAGCCAAAGGCCATCTCACAAGATGATTCTGAAAGAACTTCAGTGTGGGGAGCAGTGCTTAGGGCTGGCAGTCTGGCTGGAAGAGGCACAAGAGGGCAAAGAGAAGACATTCATGTTGAAGCCCTGTTTGCCATCAGACACGCTGTCCTGAGGGAGCCTACAGCTCCAAATGGTCGGCTTGTGAGGTTCCCAAGGCCGGGCTACAGTGTGCCAGCAGTTCTAGAGATCTGTATTCTTTGGACAGAAGATAAAGTAGGCACGCACTGCCCTGGGGTCTACAGGGAAATAAGGCCTGAGGAGCCCTAGACCCAGCGGCACTGATCCCTCTTCTCATCCTCTAGGGGCATCCCTCTGCCCCCTGTCCAGCACTGCCCAATGCATGAAGGTGGCTTTGTGCTCCCAGCAGCACTACACTCAGTGTTATGTGCCCTACCTGCTCCTCTTCATCCAATAGTGACTTTTCATAACATTTATCCATTTCTTTGTAGGCCAGGATGGTTCTTTGAATCCAAACACCGGGCAAATGCGACTGAGCTATGAGACCCTGGGCAAGTTCACGTCGGAATCTACCCTGGTAACTCCGGAGATGATAAAATCGACAAAGAGCATGCGTGGGAGTGTGATGATCACCAAGAGCAAGGCGGAGAGCCACGGCTCTGGGTCGCAGAGGCAACATCACATGCACCTGTCCGAAACACCACAGGTTCAGATCAGGGGGTGGGGGGCAGGGGGGACACACCACAAAAACCCTCATTGCCCATCGAGTCTATTCCCCTTTAATGTGGCCCTCTAGGACAGATAATAATGCCCCCTGTGGGTTTCTGAAACTCAATCTTGATGTAAATAGAACCCCACCCTCCATCTTTCTGTCGCAGAGTGGATGGTGGTTTGAACTGCAGCCCAGTGCATAACCCACTGAGCCAGGATCCCAGCTACTCCACGGAACGACTTCCCCATGACAGCCTTGGTCAACCCAGTTCCCCAGCTGCTCCATGGATCCCAGACACATCTTCCTCATCCTCTGGCTCCCACTCTTTCACTTCATACAGCAGGGGGACGGGTCTAGTCTTTTTTTAAAAAATGGAAATCAGAGCATGCCTGCCCGGCACCCACCATGGACTTTCTATATAAGTCTTGGAATAGAGTCAATATGGTCTCAATTCCGTCCCACAGCCTCCATGGCCATGCATATTCTGGCCTTGGCTCTTTTCTCTATGTATCATGATATTGCTTATTGGTCCAGGTGGAAGAAGTTTTGTCTGCTTTATGTTGAGGTGACTAAAGGTTATAGTCTCTGATCTTCATCAGTAAGTGCTTCAGGTCTGCTTTACTTTCAGCAAGTAAGGTTGTGTCATGTGCGTCTTGCGAGTTATTAATGAGTTTTCCTCCTGTCTTGATGCCACATTCTTCTTTGTATAGACACGTTGTTGTTGTTTTTCATTATTTGCTGAGTGTACGGTTTGAATAAATAGGAAGAAAGGTTACAGTCCTGATGCGCACCTTTCCTGATGTTAAATCATGTATCCCTTTGTTTTCTATAGATGACTACCTCTCAATCTGTGGACAGGTTCTGCTTGAGAATTCCCATTCTTCTGTTCCAGAATTCCCATTCTTCACGACGTCACTCATAATCCACCCAGTCGTGTATGCCTTTGCATAGTCAATGGATAATAAAATCTGTCAGATATTCTCTACTTTCAGCCAAGATCCATCTGCTGTCAGCACTCCTATCCCTCATTGGATGCCCTCTTCTGAATCTGGTTTGACATTTTGGCAGTTCCTGGTCCATGTACCACTGCAATTGTTTTTGAAGCACCTTCAGCAAAATTTTGCTTGTGTGTGACATGAATGATCTCGCTCGATATTTCCACATGCTGCTGGCATTCTGTCTTTGCAATGACACGAATAGGCATCAGAATTCCTATTTTACAGACAAGGCCCAGAGAGATGACAGAATTTTCCCGAGGTCCATGCTGCAGGATCTATTGAGCTGCAAAGCTGGCCCCTGGTGTCTAATCTTTTTCCCTCTCACCAGGTCTCCTCCAGCCCCCTCCCCATGGGGCCCACCCAGCGCCGGCTCAGCGTCAGCACCAGCATCGGGGGCGAGACAGGACTGATGAGCTGTGTGCTCCCCGAAGAGCTATTCATGCAGATCCTGGTCGAACGCATCCAGGTGCGCCCACCTCCAGCACCGAGTCCTCTCAGGGCATGGCACACTCTCACACCATCCACATCAGTCCACCAAGATTCCTGCCATCAGTAGCCCACTTTGAACAGCTCAGAGCCCAGGAGCCTTGAAGAGGAGTTAGTCTCCCATCCCCAGCAATCATACATGTACTTGCCCTGCAGATAGCTCTTAGAAGTCCTGGTTCTGGCCCAGTCTGTACTAGAAGCCATTAATTTTCTTGAAGGACCAGAGATTAGTATGTTTTACATATGAAAGTAGAGTTGTGAAACATTCGAGATTATCACATGACTCCATTAAAAATTAGTCTAGACCCATGTTAATTGCCAAAGAAATAATGTTCACAGTATTTTGCTAAGAAGAAGAAACAGGTTATGTAAATGTTAAGCACAGTTACATGTCTATAAAATGTTTATAAATTGATCACACAACATGCAGTAAAAACTCCTGAAGTACACATGAATTGGTGTTATCTTTGGGTAGCCAGAGTACAGATTGTTAGTTTTCTTTCTGCATTGCTGAATTATTTTACAATGACATTGCCTTTATAGTCAGAAACACAGTAATACTGTTTCCACTCTTATAAATTTACTTTTTGTTTTTAAATTCATGCTATACAATTAATGATAAAAGGATCAGAAACATTTGGAAGAGCCCTACATATGCCTGTTTGTTGCTCATGATTTATAGACGGCTAAATCGCTCTGCAGGTCCTGGAGTTGCTTGAGTATTTCAAAACCGGCCACAGTGTGGATTGTACATGGAAATGCAACAGAAGCAGCCTTGAGATTCCAGAAGAAAGTTGGTAGAAGTGGTTGCACTAGCATTGGTAGAAGTAGTTTACATTAAGGTTTTGACTTCTATACTTGGATAGTAAAGGCACTATCACTTCAGTGGATTAGAGTAAGGCCTTCCAGGAAGTGTGCCAATATTTCATGCACCCAGATGAAAGACTGAAAAACATTGGCCAAGCCCAGAGTAAGCCAATAGAGGTGTACTAGGCAAAGTTCAGGGAGCCCTGGAGGTGCTGGGCGTTAGGAATTGGTCTTCTCCTTTGGTAGACCAAATAGAACGCTCCTTCCTTCATGTCTCCAGGATTCTCTGGGCAGCTGGCATCAGCCCTGCTCAGAGTATGTTCTTTGAAGCAGCCAGGCCTGGCCCAGATGCAACCTAACAACCCTAGAAGTGGCCTCGGTCAGTGGTGATTGGGCCGGCTGGACCTTGCTGCTGAGTTAGGTTTGCAAAATCCCAAATGAAAGAAGCCCTCTGGCTTATTTCCTACCCTCTACTCTCTGCCCTCAAGTTAACTCTGGCACATGGAAGCCCTAGGGGCAGAGGGCCCCTGCCCCTGTGGGTTTCTGGACCTGTAAATCTTTTCAGGGAGCAGACAGCCTCAGCTTTCTCCCAGGGAGCAGCTGGTTGGTTTGAACCACTGAGCTCGTGGTGAGCAGCTCAGTCATTGGTTCACAACTACCCAGCTGCTCCGTAGAAGAAAGATGGGGTGCCCTACTACCATAAAGAGTTACAATCTTGGATACCCTGTCCTATAAGATTACTATGAGACCGTGCCATCAAGACTCCTTTATTTTCCCCATGGTGGACCCCCGGCAAAAATGAAAATATTCATTTTATAACATTCTGGACTTAAATCTTGTTTTAAAGATGGAATCCAAACTTCAATCTTTTCTTAAAGGATAGACTCCAGGAAGCAAGGTATTGGTGGAGAAAGGTTCGACACTAAGGTTCTCTAGTCTATAAAGAGCTCTGGCGGCGCTGTGGTTTAAGGCTTGGGATGCTAACTAACCACAAGGTCAGTTGGTCGTTAAAACCCACAAGCCACTTTGTAAGAGAAAGATGAGACTGTCCGCCCCCATGAAGACTGGCCGATTCAGAAACCCAAGAGAGCAGCTCTACTCTCTCCTGTAGGCTCTCTAGGAGTCAGGTTCAACTCGATGGCAGTGGGTTTGGTGTTGAGATTCAGAGTGCTGGTCCTGACTGAGTTAGGAGGTATGCACCGCTTCCTTCATTGAGAAAGTCTTGTACAAAATGAGTGTCAGCTGAACTAAGCTGTGTTTAGCATTAGAGTCAGTTTGCATTCTGACCGTCTTCTGATCCCATCACACACTATGCCTGGTCATTTCTGAACCAATGATGGTCAGAAGATGGGCTGCATTTCTATAGCATTGCAGTACCACAGAGGCTGTCCTTCAGTATCCCATAGGTATCATCAAAATCACTGAGCTCCAAGGCAGCAAGGCCATGGCGAAAAAAATGAATGACCCATCCTGCTACTGATTGTCTGGTTGCCCATCATTCTCTACCTGGGAACCTCTTTCCTTTGCGTCTTCTTTCTCTGTCCCATTAACAGGCAGAGGGTGTCTTCATTAATGCACAGTAGGTCAACCACATCCGTTACGGTGCCAGTAAGAGCACCAACAAAAGGACAGACTCCCTTCTCCATGGAGAAGAGATGATCGTGTAGCCATGATAACTGTCACTTCTCCCTCTGGTTGCAGCTGAACGACTGCTACCGAGGGGTGGTGTTTGATGGCCTTGACACGCTCTTTGCTCGGAGTGCTACCGCCACTCTCCTCTGCCTGCTGAAAGCCATCGGCAACCGGGAGCACATCTACGTTATCAACATGGCCCAAGATTACGCTGCCATGAAGGCCCAGGAGAAAGCTAAAAAGGAGCAAGAAGGCAAGACCCCACCCTCCCTTGGCCTCCCTCCTCCAGTGCTAACAGATCTCTCATTTGGACAGAGCTTTAAACTTCCTAAATACTCTCTGGACATGATCCTCCATGGGTGTAGTTGACACTTTCACATTCCTCCCCACCACCCTGTGAGGCGGCCAGAACTCATGCTTCCCCTTGTCACATGAGGAAAGGGAGACTTAAATGACTTGTTGAATGGTCACATCATGAGCAACCACCCCACTGTTCTGAACGCAAAGGCAATTAATCTGCTTTCCCCTGAGATGGCACAGCATCTTATCCCTTTGTCTGTGATTGCTGACCTCAGGAGAGCCTAGCACGAGTCCCACTCTGATCTGGGAGACTGATTTTCTTGTGGGTTTTATTGAAGCCAACAATGTGTTTCCAGCAGGGTTCCAGTCAGTTCAGTCTTGGCCAGTGCAGTAAGATTGGAACAGATGCAAAATTGTATCCTGGATGTACTAGAACGCGGGGGAGGGGGGGATTATGGGTAAATGCCCTGGAATAGAGGCTTCTGAAGAGGTAGAGTGAGCCCTTTCAGGAGCCTTGAGGCAGGATGTTGGACTCATGAACAGGACTGCCAAGAGCAGTGGGTATTCAAAGCAGCATGGTCGGTCGCCATCTTTGACTCCGTCCGACAGGAAGTACAGTTGCCGTGCAGCGCACACACTGCCCTTGTTTTCTGTCTAGCAGAGTGTCAACCGGTAATTTCCCTGTTCCAGTACACAAGGTTTTAAAACCCAGGTCCATACCAGGTTCACTTTGTTGGCCATGACTGAACCCAAAAGCATCTCTTTGAAGGCCAGTTTCTTGTGAAAATAGAGATGCTGGTCATTGGTTCAAAAACAGCTGTTGTCGCTTAGGGGAGTCTACATTCTACCAGGCATTTTGTACCCATTAGGTCATTTAATCCTCACGATAACCTTGTGAAGAGTGTTGTCCCAGTGTCACAGCTCAAAAGATGCGTGTAAGATCACACAGGAAGGGAACCAGGTCTATGTGACTCTTAAAACCCTTCCACGATTGGAAAATAGATTCTCAGAGTCATGTTGGCTCAAATCGTTGCCCCCGCCCCAGGGAAAGGGAGTACATCTACCCATGACACTGCCCTTGAGAGGCAGGCCCCTGCTCAGGGAAGGCTCTGCTCCGACCCCACTGCTGCCCTCCTCACCTGAGCTTGCCTCTCTCTCTCCTGGCACAGTGGACACAAACCATAATGCTTCCTCACCCTGGCCAGGCAGCCCACAGCGGCACTGTGGCCCCCAGCTTCCTGTCTTCCAAGAAAGTTTGTTTTCCCATAATGATCGGCTTGAAGAAAGAAAAAAAAAAAAGCCACTTTATTTTCTCAATTGTCTTTGGAGATGAAGTTCCTCACTGTTGAATGGCAGGTCTTTGCCCCTAAATTATCCACATTTGAAAAAAGTCCTAAGCTCAGGTACAAAAACACTGTCATTACCATGACTCTGGTGTCGATTGAGATTTTATGGCTGCTCCTGAAACTCAATGCCACGGAGTCAATTCAGACTCAGAGCAACCCTGTGGGGCAGGGTAGAACTGCCCCTGTGGGTTTCCAGAGCTGTAGCTCTCTGTAGGAGTAGAAAGCCTCATCTTTCTCCCACCGAGAGTAGCTGGTGGTTTTGAACAGCTGGCCTTGTGGTTAGCAGACCAGTGCCTAACCTTCATGACTGCTCTGGGCACCGCAAGATACTTTAGGTCACTGCTTAGTTAATCTCCATAGCATCCCTAGGCAGGAGAGGTTTTCATTCTCACCTGTTATCATCCCTCAGCCGGTGGCAGAGAGACAAGTGTCGTGCAGGTCCCTGGGTGCAAAGCTCATACCTCCTGGGGTGTCCACGAGGGATGGCATGCTAGTGACAAGGGAGGTTGAGCTCCCACGGGGAACCCACGGGGCACAGAGGGGCTTCTCCTTGTTGTGCACACAGCTCTTTGCTCACATGAGCACTTCAGTGGCATGTGCTCACAAGGAGAACGGGCCGTGGATGGTGTATCCCTTTCCCATCACTGCTAGACCACATTACCTCAGACTTAGTGGCCTAAACCCAGGGACTCCTCATGGGCCATCCCGGGGGTCAGAGGTTCTACAGTCAAGGTGTTAGCAGGGCTGCGTCCCTGCCAGAGGTTCTAAGGGAAAACCTGCTCTCTGGCCTTCTCTGGCTCCTAGGGGCCACCTTTGTCCCCTTCCTTCCACCCCACGGCTCTTCTCTTCCTTCACCCCATCTTCTTTCCGGACTCTTGTGGTGATTCGGTGCTCACTCAGGGAATCCAGCAGAGTCCCCCATCCTAAGATCCTTAAAAGTCACATCCGTTCAATACTGTTTGCCACATAAGGTAACATCCCCAGGTTCATTGTGTTAGTCCGGGTTGACTGGAGAAACAAATCCAGAGAGACGCAAATGTGTGTAAGAGAGAACTTTATATCAAAGAGCAATTGTATATTAAGAAAGCATCCAAGCCCAGTACAGATCAAATCCCTAAGTCCGATATCAGCCCATATGCCCAATACTAGTCCATAAACTTCTCTTTAGACTCACACAGCCATGTAATGACACCAAGTGCAGGAAGATCACAGGCCTTTGGGTGGGAAGTCTTGTGGATCCAGTGGCAGTGGAAGCATCTCAGCGCTGGCATGGGTCTCCATGCAGCAGTTCCAGTTCCAGGGCTCTGGCTGTATCTGTGTAGCTCCAGGTGGCTTGTCAACAAGAATGTCAAGCAGAGAGAGTGTGTGTGTCCCCTCCAGGGAGGAAGACAGAAGTTCCCAGAATTCTCAGGAGAATGCCATGCCCACACAGAGGCCTCATTGGCATTTTGTACCCATTGTACCTGATTGACAGGCTAGACTCCACCCCTTCACTCAAGTTGGCAGGGGAAGATGTAACTGCCATGGTGGCTTTGGGGCCCCTTGTTCAGCCTACCTCAAGTGGAGTCTGGCTTTAGAACCGCACGAATGAAGAAAATCCCACCAGGAATTAGATATGCCCGTCGCCTCTCAATGCCGCAGGCCCCCAGCCAGCCCAGCTGGAGAAGGAGTTAACCAAGGGGGTCCCCGGCCGCAGCTGGACACGGCGTCTTCTCACCTGTCCATTTCTGTTCCCTCACAGACCACAAACACCAGGAAGCTCTTCTGAAGGAGAAGGAGCGGCTCCAGAACATGGATGAGGAAGAATATGATGCCTTGACAGAGGAGGAGAAGACCTTGTTCGACAGAGAAGTTCAGCGGACTCTCCGGGAGAGGAAAAAGAGGTCTGAGCCAGGCCCTGGCCCCACCCACCCCCACCCAGGGGGGCTTGTGGAGGGCAGCGTGGGATGCCCATAGCTCCAGGTCCTCTGCCCAGAAGGGCACAGAAGGATGTCTGTGGGGAGCTGGGAACACTCGGCCCATTCCAGGGCCCTGGCCTGGTAGCTGCAGGTGCTCTGGGTGGCTCCCAGGCCCTGTCTTTCTTAGAGCTCTTTCTTCCAAGGAGCGAGGAACAGAAACCCAGCTGGGCAGAATCTTTCCTAGCTGCCGTCCAGTTAGCAGGGTTTGGTTGAATGACCATGCAAAGATGGATGTGGGCCACGCTCTGTTCCTTTCCTTCCTTCCCTCCTTCCGCCCTCTCAGTCTGTCCTGGCTTCCTGTTTCATCTTCCCTTCCTTTCCTTTCTTCCTTCATCCATTCTTTCTCCCTCCCCTCCTTCCTTTGTTTATACTTCTCTGTTTCATCCATCCATCCATCTCTCTTTCTTTCGTACCTAAGCCAGCTCTTGCCAGCATGTCTCTGCCTGCACGGCCAGGGACAGGGGCTTGGCCAGGGGCTCCCTGAACGCTCGCTTTCTTGCCTGCTTTGATGAAGGGAGCTGGAGAGGATGGCGAGAGAGATGCAGGAGAAGAAGCTGCAGCAGGAGCTCGAGCGGCAGCGGGAGGAAGACGAGCAGAAACGGAAGATCAAAAGAGCCAAGCCGGGCCTGACAAAGGAGGAGGGCCCAGTGAAGAAACCGCAGGTCGTCGGCCGGCAGGTATCAGTCCTCACTGCACACACTCACCCTCCCGCTGTCCCAGCCCAGGAGACAGAAGCAGGGGCCCCCTCATTGCAACCAGCCAGTCAGTCCCACCTGTTCCCCTCCCCGAGAACTGACCTCGTACTATGTGGGTTTTGCAGAGGAGCTGATGTCTATTGGCCACTCTTTGTCAGCTAATACCTTGCCAGGCCTGCCCCCACCTGAGCTTTGGTTTCCAGGACCTCACCAAGTAGCCTGTTGTCATCAATCAGTACTGACTCCCGGCAACCTCATGGGCTTCCGAGAGGAATTTGTCCCCCAGGGCTTGCGATGGCTGAGTCTTTTCAGAAGTAAATCACCAGGCCCCTCTGGCCCATGCACACTGTGTTGGGATTCCCAGGGTGGAATGATTCCAGCAGGCTAACAGACCACACAGACAGCCTGAGTCCAGCAGAACCAAATGGTGCCTGAGGACCACCACTTCCTGCGCTGAAAAGGATCCCCGTTGAAAGCCCTGAGAGAGTGGGAGAACATTGTGGAACAAAACCCAAACTCATTAAAGAGATCAGACTTACTGGGAGAATAGAGATTGGTGGGGACTCCCCCACCCCAAGACTATAACCTTTAGTCACCCTTCAGGTCTGGACCTGATCTCTGCCCCTGCCCCATGTTAAAATAATCAGCAATACGATCAAAAGAGCAAGATTCACCCAAGGACAGAATTCCGAGCATGAGAGCAGAGGAGGAATGGGAACCAGCAACCCAGAAAGGAGGTGGACCCCGTGACGGGGCCTGGGAGGAACTGCGGTGCAGACACTGAGACAGCCTGCCTATGAGCTGTGGGGCAGAGGCCTGATGACCCGCTCTGCATAAGCCTTCACTCAAGTCCCAAGAAAAAAAAGAAATTTTTAGAAGTCTCGCTAACTGTGGTCCATCGGGGACCTCCCAGGCTGTGATCAAGAAGATAAGGGGGGTGAGCGAGCTGAGGGGGAAAGCAGTCTTGTTCCACTCGCATCACTCCTGCCTCCGAGTCTGAGCTTCCGGAAGCAAAGAGCTGCTCTGAGCTGGTGCTGCGTGATCAATGCAATAAACTGGAGGAAGGTAGGCGGAGAGAAGGGGAGAAAGCGGGACCTGATCGCATTGAACAGTGCCCCACCCCCCACCGGGGGGACGAACAACAGGCACGTGGGTGAAGGGAGACAGTGGATGGTGTAAAATCTGAAAATAAAAATAATTTCTAAATTATCAAGGGTTCACAAGGGTGGGAGGCAGGTGGGGGGTGGGAAAGGAGCTGATATCAAGGGCTCAATTATAAAGAAAATGTTTCGGAAATGATGATGGCAGCATATGTACCAATGTGCTTGATACCACTGATGTATGGATTGTTATAAAAGCTGGAAGAGCCCCCAATAAAATGATTTACTAAAAAAAGGAAAAACAAGAAAGAATAAACTGGACATCATGCCAACAAACCATGAGCCAAAAGAGCTGCGATGCCCACCTGAGGGTTTCATCCAGAGAAAGGGAAACCGGGCTCCCCAAAGTGAGTTTGAAGGGGGCCATGCAGCCTTCTGCATCCAGCTCATTAAATGGGTCAGCGTCCAAAAGTCCACAGAAAACTTCCAGTATCCTGTCAACTGCGTTTCTCCGTGAACTTTTTGAACACTACTCCCCACGCCCACCACTTGCACACACCTGTACCTACCTGTATGCAAAAGCCTGGAGCACATCCCGATTGTGAACTCCAGGTTGCTCCCAGCAACAGCCGTCATGCGCAGAACCTGTGAGGCCGTAAGGACATCACCGACTGGCACCCTACTTGGGCAAGCCTCGGGCAATTACTAACAGTGCTATAGCCCTCTTATTCAGGTGAGGCGGACGGAAGAGAAATCCTCTCCCAGGTCAGTGCAGCTGTGGTGGGACCATCAGGCTTTCTGACCAATTCCAGGACACCTGAGAGCAGTTGCCAAAATGATCCATCCTTCAAGGCTGGGGTCCCGGTGAGGAGGGCACATCAAAGTCGCCCGTGCAGCTGTTGCAGTGGCACCATGCCCAGCCCCCACCAGCTCTGGAACAGAAGGACCACGGGAGGGGTATTCTGATCAAAACTCCCATGATGACTCTTAGAAGATATAAGAGGGGCCCCCGAACCTGGGAGGGCCCCCTCATGAAACAATACCCCCTCTCCTGCCTCCACCCCTCCCTTGCTTGTTCCCCATTCTATTTCCTCTCCCTTAAAAGTGTGTTGTTGTGTGTTGCCTTCTAGGGTCTTGTTTTTTCCAAACCAGAGGTGAAGATGGAGGCAATAGAAAGGAAAATATCTGTCAAGGATCAAGGGCTGTCTGAGAAGGATGAACTAAACAAGAAGAGAAAGAACCACGTGTCTGAACCCAGTTTCCCCGGGAACCTGCTTACCCAGGAAGAGGAAAGCGAGAGGGACTTGTCCGTGAAGGACACTGACAAGCACATGGCCCAGAAGTTCAAGAATTATGAGCTGAGTTTAAAGGACGTCCAAAATATCCTCATGTTTTGGGACCGGAAGCTGGGCATCCAGCTGCATCACGTAGGCACCGAAGACATGTCCCATGAGCAGGACGACCAGCGCCAGGTCCCTTCCGGGGGACGCAAAGGCCGCAAAGACCGGGAGAGGGAGCGCCTGGAGAAGGAGCGAGCGGAGAAGGAGCGGCTGGAGCGGGAGAAGGCCGAGAGGGAGCGGCTGGAGAAGCTGCGGGCAATGGAGGAGCGCAGCGAGGATGGGGATGGGGACGAGGACCACGAGGGGAAGAAGGACGTGGGGGTGCCGTTCATCAACATCCAGACTCTAGACTTCGAAGGCTCCAGCTGGAAGCAGGCCCTGGAACATGACAGGCTTCCCAAAGGAGATCAGGTACAGTCTTCTGCTCCAGGGGGGGCAGGTAACAAATCCGGTGGCAGGTGGTACAAGTGTTTCTTTCTACATAAAGTCCACAGTCCCTTTAACTCCACTTGTCCTCTAAGCCCTCAGAGATAGAAGACATCCTCTTAGATAGAAGACAACAGCAGCTGAAGAAACTTTTTTCGACCTGGTGGAAAGCTATAGATCTAAATTATAGCTAAGCAAAGCCAGCTAGCTCTAAGTGTGACTTTGGATATTGGTAATACTAGGTCTAAGGAGTAGCAAGGCAGTATGATTTGAGAAGAAGCATGATGCTTGTCTATTCTCCCCTCCCCCCATGAGCGACAAATTATACTGAGATAATTTTCTTATCCCTATAAGCAGAAGCATTTCATAACCCAAAAAATCACCTTTGACCATATCTTGGAAGGGAGGGAGCGTTATATCCTTCAGTTCAGGGACAAACTTCTCTGTAAAGGACCAAATGAGAACATTTATACTGCAAGTCATTCCATCTCTGTTGTGGCTACTCCGTGCCGTATTTTCAGGTAAAGGCAGCCATCGACATCTGGAAACACATGGGTGTGACTCTACATCTCCCCAAAGGCGGGCAACGCTTGGCCCGCTGGCCAATGTGCTGAACCTCCGCTTTTGTTTTACAGGAGCTAGTTGCAGCCCTAGAAAGCAGGGGATAGAACCCGAGAGGGTGAATACAGACAGATAAGGGTTACTAGAAGGACTAAGATCATCGCTGGAGAGGACCGGCCTTGACATAGCCCACATAGTGTCGTCATGGTGATCCAAAGACAGAGTGGCAACAGTTCCACTCTTTCACCCTGCTGCTTCAAACCAGCCTGCATCATTGTGGCGATGACGTTTTTGTTGTTGTTTTCCCCAGAAAGGTGGTTTTCGAAAAAATTCCATGGCCAAGAACGTCTTGTTTTGTTTGATACTCTACTTTTATAGCCAAGGGCTTCTTATCTTCTTGCCCTTGCCTTAACTCTAGATTCCAAGCCTTAGGTTAAACTGTTACTTGAAGATCTCCTTGGCTCCGACCCACAGTCCGGGGCAAAACACAGGACTGCATGAGAATCACCTGCTCGGTCTAAAAATCCGCCTGGTCCACAGGATGGGCACCGAAGTGGGCCATCGCATTGACTGTTATGATGGCAGCAGTTAAATCGAGGGTTGCACGTCCCTTGGGGAGGTCTGTACCTGCCGAGAAGCAAGTCGTCATGGGCTTTTAGGTCTTATGCTCTGGAAAGGGGGCAGGGTGGGGTCATGTCATGGGAATAGACCTCCTCTCTGTCAAGTTCCTCTTGACTTCTCTTTGTCCACCTCCTAGGTCATCCCCAGAACTCTTGCTTTTGCCTTTCCTGCTTTTAACCGGCTCCAACCTGCACACGCTCACTCACTCTCTTTGGGAAAGAAGGCCCACAGAAACCGAAAACAGAGGATACAACTTAGTACTCTAGAGACCAGACCTTCAAGAGCTGGTCTCTTTCTGCTCAGTGGCACTTTGTTGAATGCCTGCTGTGTGCCAGGCTCTATGTTTCTGTCCTCATGGAGCTTGTAGTACAGTTGCAAAGACGGGCAATTAAACAGTCACAGTCTTGTCACAATACAGTGATAAGTCCTATCATAGGAGCCCATGGGGAGCCCCTTGCAGGAGCACCCAGCCAGGTCTGGGGGAGTAGTCCCAGAGGCTGCCCCCCAGTCCTTCATGCCCTCCCAGAGTCACACCTGGGAGGCAGCAGCGTCTCCCAAGAATGCTGAGGGAAGAAGGTGGGGAGGTCTGAACGACCCCGGGTTCACACCAAGGGCTGGTCAGGTTAGCACACCCTCCACACAGGAAAGTAACGATGGTCTTTTTCTTTAGATCCTAGACATCTTAGGTCTGGGGACGTCAGGACCACCCATCCCACCTCCTGCCTTGTTCTCGGTAGTCCCCTACCCTACGAAGCGCCTGCCTTTGGCCCCATCGGAAATCCTGAAGCGTTTCCTTTTTGTGATGCCACAATCGGAGGAGCTCGCCCTGATGGAGGATAAGAAAGACCTGGAGGCCGAGGGGGAGCTCTTGACCCCGACAAGCACCTCAAAGGTAAAGTGGGAGCAGCTTGTGCCCCTGGCCTGGCAGGCCTTCAAGGGGCCCGCGAAGGCAGAGCCCTGGTGGCACAAGTGGGTCAGTGCCTCACTGCTAATGAAAAGGTCAGAGGTTCCAACCCCGCAGCCACTGTGCAGGAGCAGGATACGGCAGGCTTGCTTCTGTCCATGTGGACAGCTTTGGAACTTTGTGGGGCATGTCGTACCCTGCCCTATGGGGTCATCACAAGTCAGAATCGATTCAGTGGCGGTGGGCTTGGGGTTTGAGTTGATGTTTATGAAGGTGGGTTTCCCCCTAGACTCATCCCCACTGCTGCACTTGTGTGCCCTGCCCAAGGCCCCTGATGGAGCATTCCATGTCTGAAAACCAGATGACTCTCCGATCCCCATGGGATGATGCAGGGATTTTATCAAGTTCCTTTGAAGTGTGTCTGCAAGAAAAACTAAGCAAAGCTAGCTCTTTGGAAAAGATAACTAAAATATGTACTAACACTCTAGTTATTCAAGCAGTGCAGCAGAATCAACAGACCTCATACCACTCAAGAAAGAAGATAGTAAAGTCACTTTTAACTTCCCTGCCTTACACAATATAGCTTTTTAAAAATCCACTGAATTAAAAATATTTTTAAATCAAATATATACATATTTAAATCAAAATAGAATCATATAAAAGAAACTATAGATTAAATTAATAGAATAAATCAGAGAAAATTTGATTTGATTGTAAGAATATACAGAACATATATATATATTAAACTTATAGAGGAACTTTTTATTATAGGCTAAAGGTAGGCCAAGTTTAGATTCTTTGACACAGCCTCCTACAAACCATACATATCAGCCAAGAGAGCAAATGTAAACACCTACCTGCAGCACAGTGAGGTAGCTAAAAACGTGAATTTACAACTCAGTAGGAAAAATCAACCCCTGAGGTCAGCAGCATTGGGCAGGCCTGTTACACCCAGAGCAAGGAGTCCATGGTGAAATTCCAAATAAAAGAGATGAAGACAGAAAGCGGCCACCTCAAGAGGTGACGGTGACAAAACAAAGCCAAACCAATCGCGTCAATTCTGACTCATAGCAACACTATAGGACTCCCTCGGTCTCTAAGACAGTCATTGCCGTCTCCAGGGGGAGAGAGGGTCAATCCTGACTC